CCCATGGCGGCACGTGATCACTCACCTCCCCCCAGTCTCTGCTCTTGAACGGCCCCACCTGAGTCTTGTACCAGTTGTTTCCTCTGCCTAGATCACTCTCTCCAGCCCATCTTCACGAGGCTGGGTCCTTCTTGTCCTTTAGGTCCAGCTTAAATATGTCTTCCTCCAAGAAACTTTATGAGTCCCCAGTTTAAGGTAAAAATAAAAAACTAACATTTGGGAAGTGTTTTTCTGTATGTCAGGCACTTTCTGACACTTTGCATGCAAAATTCAAGCACTCTCATGAGAACCCAATGAGACAGACTATTATTATCATTCCCATTTTACAGTAAGGAAACTGAATCCCAGCAAAGGTATGTAAATCCCAATATACTGCAAGAAGTAGCTTACCAGAGTAGTAGTGCCAGCTACTCACAATCATATCACTACAGCACTTTCCAAAGTGTAATTTTGTGTGGGCTCCAGACTTGCTCTGTCACTAACACTAAATGTGCTGGTTTTCATCAAACATCTGGAGAAACTTCTGTACCTTTCTGTAAATTCTCTTTTAATTTCTCAGAAATGTCTAAAAGGGGAAGAAAAATGTCCATGAAGACTATAAAACTTCATGCTTTTAGCCAGTGAGAAGGTAATAAACCCTGCCTACAGAAGGTGTGTTTTCATGCAAACTATAAAAACAAACAAACACACACATTACATTACATTCTGTCTCCTCTTGACAGAATGTAAACCTATGTCTGCCTTGTTCACTGGGGTATGTTCAGCTCCTAGAACAATGGCAGGCACATGGGAAATACTCAACTAATGTTTCCTGACTGTTGAACAAATGGATGAGTACATAAGGGAATAATTAAGAAATCAACTTGATAAGAAAAAAAAAAAAAAGACCAGGAGAACCAAAGGGTCACTTTTATTCTTCTTTTTTTTCCCCAACATCTTTATTGGAGTATAATTGCTTTACAATGTGTTAGTTTCTGCTTTATAACAAAGTAAGTCAGTTATACATATACATATGTCCCCACATCTCCTCCCTCTTGTGTCTCCCTCCCTCCCACCCTCCCTAACCCACACCTCTAGGTGGTCACAAAGCACCGGAGCTGATCTCCCTGTGCTATGCAGCTGCTTCCCACTAGCTATCTGTTTTACAATTGGTAGTGTATATATGTCCATGCCACTCTCTCACTTCGTCCCAGCTTACCCTTCCCCCTCCCCATGTCAAGTCCATTCTCTACATCTGTGTCTTTATTCCTGTCCTGCCCCTAGATTCTTTTTTTTTAGATTCCATATATATGTGTTAGCATCTGGTATTTGTTTTTCTGACTTACTTCACTCTGTATGACAGACTCTAGGTGCATCTACCTCACTACCAATAACTCAATTTCGTTTCTTTTTATGGCTGAGTAATATTCCATTGTATATATGTGCCACATCTTCTTTATCCATTCATCTGTTGATAGACACTTAGGTTGCTTCCATGTCCTGGCTATTGTAAATAGAGCTGCAATGAACATTGTAGTACATGACTCTTTTTGAATTATGGTCTTCTCAGGGTATATGCCCAGTAGTGGGATTGCTGGGTCGTATGGTAGTTCTATTTTTAGTTTTCTAAGGAACCTCCATACTGCTCTCCATAGTGGCTGTATCCATTTACATTCCCACCAGCAGTGCAGGAGGGTTCCCTTTTCTCCACACCCTCTCCGGCATTTATTGTTTGTAGATTTTTTGATGGCCATTCTGACTGGTGTGAGGTGATACCTCATTGTAGTTTTGGGTTTTTTTATTTTTATTTATTTATTTTTAGTTGCATTGGGTCTTCGTTGCTGTGCACAGGCTTTCTCCAGTTGCAGCGAGTGGGGGCTACTCTTTGTTGTGCTGCGCGAGCTTCTCTCTGCGGTGGTTTCTCTTGCTGTGAAGCACGGGCTCTAGGTGCGCGGGCTTCAGTAGTTGTGGCTCTCCGGCTCTAGGGTTCAGGCTCAGTAGTTGTGGTGCACAGGCTTAGTTGCTCCGCAGCATGTGGGACCTTCCCGGACCAGGGCTCGAACCCATGTCCCCTGCCTCGGCAGGCGGATTCTTAACCACTATGCCACCAGGGAAGTCCTCATTGTAGTTTTGATTTGCATTTCTCTAATGATTAGTGATGTTGAGCATCCTTCCATCTGTTTGTTGGCAATCTGTATATCTTCTTTCCCACCAGCCATTTTTAAACCATCTGCTAGCTGCAACCTTATCTCAAGGTTGTTCCCCCGTGTAACCATGCAACCATTTCAGAACCCAATCAATCCTTATTTAACAAGCACCCTTACTTCCTGCCAGCTCCCACTATAATTCTTGATAAACAAGTTATGTAACAACTGTAACCTTGCCGTTTTTGCCTTCATAAGTCTCCCCTATTTGGTAGTCTGGTGAAACACAATTCAAGTGCTTCTTGAAGCTGTCTCCCATCTTAATTCTATTTGTAGATTAAGGTGTTCAAATCATTTATCATTGTAACAAATATCATTCAAAGGATTACTGTTAATTCTAACAGAATTGATTACAATGGCCCCTGCTTTCTGGCATCTTTCATTGAGTCTTGGTAAATGTTGATAAATAATTCAATGAAATGTTAAAACATCTGAGGATTTTCAGTTGGCTAATAAACTCTTTTGCCAACTAATGTATCTTGTGCTCCATCTGTTACAAAATGATGGAAAGAGAGTATCCCTCCTACAAAATAACTTAAGACCCAAGTATCAAAAATGTTAATAATTAATTAATAATTAATAATAATTAATTATTTTAATAATTAATTAATAATTTTGAAACTATTTTCTGTAACTTTTCATGCCCTACAAACTTTACATAAGGAAGCAGAAAAGGTGCATATCCTTTAATGCAATATTGTGTGGCTAAACACACCTCAAAATCACTCATGCCAGTTGACAGAATAAGACCGTATCCTTCCAAGAGACATTTTCTAACATTCCAATTACTACACTCTCATTTCACAACTTTTCCTCCTAACTTTGTTAGAACTCAATGGTGTGAAACAAGGGCTGAATAAGTAGATTTGCATATATGCATTAAGGTTTCTAATGTACCCGAACACTTGAAAAGGGAAACAAAGTAAGCCATGATCAGAACTCCAAAATGGCATATAATCAACTTTATTCATAAGTTTTTGGAAATTTACATCTGACAACAACCAGTGCCAAAGTTCAAACCTGCTACTCATATTGGCTGTAAGTGAGCTCTATCTTACGTTTAGTTAAGCAATGCCCAAGGTCAGCTTTACATGCATTACTTAATCCTCACCACAACCCTCTTCATTGTGATTCAACAAATATGCCTGTCCTCGTGAAGCTTATATTCTACCAGGGAACAGACAATAGGTATACAAATAAGTTTATAATCTAGTGTGTCTCAAACCTCTTTAAAAGTGACCCTTGAGCACTGAATTCCAAGGGTCAGTAGCTACCAATCCTCTCCTGAAAGGAAATTCGTTAACAATAAACTTTGTATCAGTTTTTGTCAAAAAGGCCACGGAGAAAGTAGTGGTGGCCTACCTACCCTTTACTGTTTTTCTCCATTTTACAGAAGAAAATTGAGATTGTGTCAAGAATCTAGATTTCTTTTCCGATCACTTCCCCCAATTGCTTAGAACACTCCTGCCACTCTAATTCAGCATCCCATGACCCTCATCTATCCAGGTACCACAAAATACCCAATACTGAAAGCAGAACGCTCATCTTTTAATGGTTTCTCTAGTTTCACTGCAAGAGTTTAACTACTGTTTGCTTACACACACAGGAAAGGAACAATAGAGGACTTCTGCTCAGGAGCCCCCCCTCTTACTATGCCCTGTACCACTGGAACAGTTTTCATATTTTATGTTCTTTTGATACCAATATCACTATGAACAATAAACCCACCTCTAAGGATGTACCCAGAATACTGTTCATTTTTCGGCACAGCTTGAAATAACTTTTGAAGTAATTTTCTCTATGTGAAGTTGTCAATTTGCTATAATGTTCATTAGTTCGTTTATATTCAACTTTCAGTTGTCTTTTTGCAAAGCTAAGTATATGTATGTATACATACAGGCATACCTCGTTTTATTGCTTCACTTTATTGCACTTTGCAGATACTGCATATTTTACAAATTGACGGTTTGTGGCAACCCTGTGTGGAGCAAGTCTGCTGGTTCTATTTTTCCAACAGCATTTGCTCACTTTGCATCTGTGTCACATTTTGGCAACTCTCGCAATATTTCAAACGTTTTCATTATTATTATATTTCTTATGGTGATCTGTGAAGTCACTATTGCAAAAAAGATTGACTTGATGAAGGCTCAGGTGATGGTTAGCATTTTCTAGCAAGAAACTATTTTTAATAAAGGGATGTGCATTGTTGTTTAGATATGTTGCTACTGCATACTTAATAAACTACAGTATAGTGGAAACATAACTTTTATTTACACAGGGAGACCAAAATATTTGTGCGACTCCCTTTATTGCAGTGGTCTGGAACCAAACCCGCAATATCTCCAAGGAATGACTGTGTATTTTTTCTTCTTTCCTCTGCTCTATGAAAGGTTGCACACTCGGTACCAGTTCTGCATCTTGCTCTTATTTTCAGTAATGGTATAGTCTTTTTTTTTTTTTTGGCTGCGCTGCACGGCACGTGGGATCTTAGTTCCCCAACCAGGGATTGAACCCATGCCCCCTGTATTGGGAGTGCGGAGTCTTAACCACTGGACCACCAGGAAGTCCCAGTAATGGCATAATCTTTAGCAAGTTATCTACCCTTACAATTTATTCATCTGTAAAACGGGAAGAACACTGTGTGAGAATTAAACGGAATAATGTAAGGACAGGAGCAACAGAGTGACACGTGCAATACGATAAATGCTACCTCCACTTGGTCCCTACAGCCCCCCTCGCTGCTGCTGCCCATAATCATAAGACAGCTACAACTATTACCAGACAAACGACCCTTTAGACCGTAGATTAAATGCTCACGGAAAATCAGGAGAGTACAGCAGATCATCCCAGATTAAATGGTCTACAGCTTTCTCCCTAAGGGAAATAAAAAGAAAGTTTTCAGTCAGTTATTAAACACAGTTTGAGTCAAATTTAAAAGGATTTCCACAGAGCCTGTGTACATGTACACTGGATTCTTTCACCTTCCAACAAAATTAAGGTTTCCAAATTCCCCTATGTATTTGAACACATTCTCTGGTGTATCCAGAAAAGTCTAAAAAGTGTTACTGGGACGAAAACTTTTTCTTTACCAACTTAGGGTGAAGTACTTGGGGGCCTGTGAATTAACAGATTAATAGGAGCCAAGATTATTATACATGTAGGCAAGAGCATGCTGTAGGGAGTAAGGATTTATATACCAGCTTAATAGGATGGGGGTGGGGTGGGGAACGGTATTAAGGCCTCAGTGGGAAAGTATGGAAGGTTCTCCCAGGATGTATTTACGCAGTTCCTTGGCAGGTCCTGATGCAAGAGAGGGCTTACAGCAGCTGAATACTTAGAAAGACCTGCTTTACTTATCAAAGGGAAGTTCAGAGAAAATTTTTTGGTTTTTTAGTGGTTTTTTTTTTCCCAGCAGCTGCTGTTTGTTCAGATGGTCTCAGTTTCAATAGTCATTATGCCATTTTGGTGAGGTTAGTCCCTTCATTTCCCTGTTATAACCTATCATGAAGTTTCACAGGCAAGGAGCTGGGGAGATTGCCGTGGAGACACATGGATTAGATGTCGGGAGGTAAGAGGTCTGCGAACAAAAACACAGATAACAAGGATGAATAAGCATAAAAGGGCAAATCCCAACACATAGCCCCATCTTTCACTGAACCAGTCTCTTATTCTCGAGGTCAGTCCCATTAATTCTTGCTTCACTCATTTTATGTACGATGTCAACCCGTTCTTTTATACGGTTCAAACTATCCTGTACTTCTTTTGATTTATTTACATACAAGCAGCACTGTCTGCCAATGACGGCACAGTGTTCCCTGTTGGGCAGCCTGTGTAGCCAGGAGACGGCGAGTTCAGAGCACAGAGGTGAAACTGCTAACCCCTGACGGACGTGCTTTCAAGGTCTGCGGGGTGCCAGTGAATCCTTGTTCCATGACTTTGGAAACGTTCAGAATGGCTTCTTCTAGATCAGAAGTTTTCAAGCTTGGAAAAAGGGTCCTTACTGAATCAGTATTGCGATACATGAGTGGCTTGCCTACAATGTCTGGTTGGATGCGTCTATGCGGTGCTACTTCATGCCTGAAGGAGCCCAGGTTTATAATCCGGCTAGCATTTAAAGTGGGATAACTAGTGAGGGAAGGTGCCAGGTAGCCGAGTCCACAACGCCCTGACCATTTAGGTGGGAACCCTTTATATACCTTATTGCCACACAAAATAAACAGACGAGAGGTGTTCACAAACAAGGTCAGAGTGGAACCTGTGACCCACCAGGATGGAGTTCGGTGTCCATGGTGGCCTTTGTCATTAGTTATGTTGGCATCTGTATATCTCCATTTCCCATGTGCCTCTGTCAGGCTGTAAGAACAAAACAGGCTACAAAATATCGGGTAAGAGGAGACCTTCAGTTTGGTTCTAGCAGCTACCGAGAAAGGTCATTCCAGAATTTTGGTCGACCCATTTGTGGCCTGGGGTATCAGGCAGACCAACCAGGGGAACAGCTGAGCTGTTCCAGGTCCTATTTGTGTGGCCTGCAGGCCAGGAATACTGTCCAGTGACTACGCAAACATTTGTATCATTATAATAATCAGTCTGGAACTCATTTATAACGTCTTTGGAGGATTTGAAGGTGTCATCTGTGGAATCAAACCAGTGTTTGATTACAGTATTGTTTTGGTATGTTACCTAGGAAGGGTCCAGTGCCGTTTTTATTTTCAATGCAAAGAGAAAATTTTCCCTCCAATACCCTCACCTGAGTGAAGGACAGACCTCAAGCCTCCATGGGGGTTCCCCAATGCCAAGTCACTCTGCTGCAGGAGGAAGCAGAGTGCCTTCCATACACCCACTGTCCAGAATGGGTCCACCAGGTGCTTGCACTGGCAGGGACAAAACCTAGTTCAGCTTCTGGTGCGTTATTTAGACGCTGACATAACCAGCAATTAGACTGATTAGTTAAGATGGCCAGGGTCTGAAAGACTGGTGTGACTGGGTGTTGTGGCCATGCTAAAACTGTTGAAAAAGCAGTAAGAATTCGCTGAAGCAAGACATAGTCCGAAAGGGAGCCCGTAGTGGGGGAACAGAGGGAGGATAGGTTTAGACAAGCAACCTCCAGTCAGTCCTTCTGTAACTGAAAGAGGAAGGGTTTTGTTTAAATTTCTATGTCAGAAAATTTTGCAGGTCAGGCAGAGGTTGCAAGGGAAGATAAACGGAGACAAAATTCTTGATCAGAGATCTTGGGTAAAGCTGTCTACTCTGTGGTGTCGTCTGCTTCTGGAGCCTGAGTAAGCTCTTGAAATCCTCAATTTGAGGTCACGCATAGGGATGGCCTTCAAATTGTCCTGGGTGGGGGGGGGTGATGACATGGAACTAGCTTGGTATCGCATGTGAATCCAGGAGGACTTTTATTCTGATGACAGGGTAGATGGTTAGCGGTACTTCCTAAGGCCTCTCCCAGCAAGGTGACAATGTACATTTTCCTCTAAAAATGTTGATGTATACTCATCTCCTGGAAGAAAGGGATGGCAAGGCCTGTCAGTGAGGACCATGCTTTTTTTCACCTGTTGATGAGACGCACCAAGTATAGACGTTCTTGTATATAACTAGTTAGAGTGCTGAATTGTTCACTCAAGTCCCCATGTTGCTTGCCCAATCCAGGAATGGAAGGTTTAGAGATGCCAGCTGGCACTGGGGTGACTAAAAACTATTTCAAAAGGGATCCATTTGGAGTATCCTGGATCTATATAAGGGCCAGGGATAATGCTTCTAGCCATGTAAGTCTAGTTTCTAGATAGATTTTTTCCCCCCTCTGGCATTCTTTTTTATGTCTACATTTTAAGGTCTTCCTTCCCCTGAGGAAAAGGGATGGTAGGGAGTATGAAATGTTAACGAATATCCTCTCAGAGTCTTTGTGAGTAAGTGATTTGTTTCTGCTGTAAAGTGAGTTCCTTGGACAAACTAATGGTTACCAGTGGAGGCGGCAGGGAGGCAATATAGGGGTGGAGGACTGGAGGGTACAAACTATTGGGTTTGTAGGCTACAAGGATATACTGCACAACACGGGGAATACAGCCAATATTTTGCAACAACTGTAAATGGACTGTAACCTTTAAAAATTGTATGCAAAATTTAAAAATTAAAAAAAAAAGTTCCTTCGTCAGATTCAGTTCATAAAGAAATGCCAAAACAAGGAATAAGCCAAGGTACTAGTTTGTTACAACTGTTGTGGCATCAGTATGTCTAGCTGGCTAGCACAGACCATCCACTAAACATGCTGACAATAACTAAACAGTGAAAAGAGCCTAGGGCTGGAGGTAAGTCTAAAAGTCCACCTGGAGTGCCAGAAAGGACAGTGTGGGTTTTGGAAGACTCCCTGAGCTACAGTGGTTCCCTCCAGAAACTTGGTAAGATTTATAGGTGGTACACTGGGAAATAATAAGTACCAGTACCTGCATAGGTCAAGAATCTGTGGAACTGCCAAAGTGTGCTAACAGCCTGACAGACTCTAAAGGCTTATCTAGTCGGTATAAATGTTTGTAGCTTTCCCTTTTGCCAGTGTATCAGCCCTAGGAAGAGCTATGAGTTTTGTAGCTTGGGCTGATTTTCTAGTGGGCAGCATGCGGCAAACGTTTGCTCTGGGATAGTCAGCTTCCCTGAAAATTTTGTTTACAAGAGCCATCACATAGAAGAGCATGTCTGGCTTGCTAAAGGACATGTCCAAGAGGTCTTCTTGTGGTTTAGAAATCATCTCGATGGTTGTAAGGTAACCATGTGGAATGGCTCTTTATCATGAGGGGTTTAAGAGTATTAGGTACAAGGTGAGGTACAAGATGATGGACGGGTAATTAACAGGCTTGTTCATAGGTGGTCTGTCATTGAGTAGAGAGGTGTTGTTTTACGGACTTGTAAGAACTGATACAGCATGGGAACAAAAAGGTGAAAAGGGGAAACTTGTGTAAGGCTACTGGCTTGTGAATCAGGGTGGCAGCCAAGTTAATGTACTTAGGCACAGGGGCATGTCTGATCCCATAGGGTCCAACTGACATGAGAAATATTCTATGGGGTGTATGTGAAAAGGAAAAGGTGGTCCTGGAATACCTGCATCTATCCCACTCTTCTCATGGCAATATAGGTGGAAAGGTTTGTCAAAACTGAGTAATCTGAGGGCTAGGAGATGGACAATGTGAATTTCAATGCTTCAGTAAAGGATTCTGTGGTGTATCTGGGAGGAAGGCATATAAGGGTTTGGCAGGGGCAGCGAAGTTGGTAATCCACTGGTGGCAAGAGCCAGCTACCCACAAAGATTTGCATAATCGTTCATCTTTGGGAGAGGGATGGACAAAATTGAGTCAAAGCATTTGGGGTGAGTTTTTGCATACCCTGAGATATTTCATGACAGGAGGAGGTAACTCTTGTTTCCACCCAGTGAAGTGTGACTCTGGAGGCTTTATGACCTTTGTCAGCTGGTGCATTTAGATGTTCTCAATTTATAGTCTTTATATCATTCTAGTGGGTTGTCCCTGCCTTCAGTGACAAATACCAACACTTGTACTATCAATGCTAAGGTTAAGTTTGAATCCATCGCTTCTGCTCGGAGCTGTGTAAAAATATCACAAAGGTGCTCACAATGAAAGGAAATTTTCTTCTGGTTCAGCTGTGACTCCAGACAGGATCCAAAGAGGAGTTCTACAATCTCTTCTCTGGGTTTTATGGAGACTTTCTTTACCCTTCTGTACTAGCCTCTTAAGGCACTGCGTCAACCTTAAAAGGGCACAAGAAAGGGTGATTTGGGTTTTTCACAGGGTTCTCTACAATTTCCTGCATTCCTCTCTCGTCAACGTCCGTGGACCTCAGCAGTTTCTTTAACCGAGTCTGAAAACCCACTAGAAGCAGCTGTTCTGCTTGTGAACGTCCGTTTCCTTTGTTAAAGGAGAGGCGGAAACACGTGCTTGGGAATCCTCCAGTAGTCACTGACCACGTGCTCGAGCCCGCGTCATTTCATTTCACTCAAAGACAGGCACATACCTGCGCTTAGAACTCAGGCCGCTGCACCTGCAGTCGTTGGAGACAAACTCCCCAGGCTCACGGTCGGTCCGAGACCCGCTGTTGCCGCCGCTGGCTGGGCCTCGCCCGAACCCGCTGCAAAGTAGCCGCGGCTGCGCCCTGGGGAAGCAAAGCCTAAACTTGTTACCACGCGCGGGCCAGCAGGCCGGGAAGCCTCCGGGAGGCTGGGCGCAGTGTGTGTGCTTCGCGCGGCCCCGGGACGGGCACTGCCGTCCCCTCCCTCCCACCCCTCCCCGGACCGCCGAGGGCTGCTCTACTCCTGCGTTCTGGCCGCCGGGAGCAGCGGAGCTCCGGGTGGGCAAAGCTCGAGGGGACGCGAGGCGAGCCCAGCCCCACCCGGGCCCGCGGACCGGCCGGGAACCCTCCCCGCCGCAAGAGGCCAAGAGACCGCACACTAGGGTAACACTCACCACCCAACTCCATGGGACAAAGAGACCCACGACCCGCGGAGACCCAGCAGGTGGGGCGGGACCTGGAGGAGGGCTGCGGGGCGGGCAGCCAACCCCCGGGACGGTTGGGGAGGGGGCAGGACGGGAGGAGGGCCGTGGGGTAGGCAACCAATCCCAGGGAAGTTTCTGGCCGAGAGGGGCGGGGCCCCCGGCCTTTCGACTTTGGCTGCGGCGAGAGAGCTAGCTGACTGTGAGCCGAGCGTGCTTTTTAGAGCCTCAGGAAGTCCGCGCGCGGAAACCGGATTTATCTGGCCCTTGCCCAGGCCTTAGCCCTCGTGCATCTGGTTCTCCCAGGCCAACGTTCCTTCCACAAGAACTCTCCTAGCGAGGCCTTCTCCTGTATCCTCTCCTCAGGTTAGCGCCTGGTCCAGGGCTCCCGGTCACACAACCCCCTAGAATGCTGAGCTGCTCGTTCCTATGCCACAGTTTAATTTATTTTGAGTGCCTACTACGTGCCATGCACCCTTCTAGTCTTTAAAAAGGCGAAACAAAGGCCTTTGACATTCTAGTGGAGAACAAAAACAGAATCAAGATGTAAAAATAAAATGTCGTAGGGTAGTAAGTGATAAGGAGAAAAACCTAAGTATTTTATTACAACTTGGAAAACTAAAGATAGAGACAGTAGTCTTTGCTGTGAACAAATGCCCCTTATGGCACTAAGAAACAAAGAAGCAAAACTTATCATGACTAGCGTTACTGTGCTGCTTTGGAAAATATATTTCACTGTAGAAATAACTAAATATGATGGAAGGCTCTTTACCAGAGATCCCGAGTAGGGTCCTATTTGGATCCATATTGCAGAGGGGACCAAGATGGGCAAGGACAATGGCCCTGGGCTGCAGGACACATGGTCCACAGTCCTGGTGGCAGTCACTAGTGAGAGGCTGCTTGGGAAGGAGGCTAACTGTCATGGGGATGGGATAGTGGTCTTCAAACCCTTCAGATTCCCAGGTCTCCTCTCCCAGCCCTGAATAGGCCTGCAGCCTGCTTTATCCTTCCCAGTGTTCTCTCAGCTGGGGGGAACCCTTCCCCCAGAGCAGCACCAGTCCCACTGCTCTGGTCTGGGCTCCAGTCCTATTGGCTTCCTCAGCCCTCCCAGGCTATTTATTTTTTATCTCCTGCCTCTTCAAATTTCTCTCTTTTGCTCTTCAGTCTGGCTCAAGAAATGGGTGTAACCACTATTCACACTGCCCTTTGCTTATGCTGATTCACTGCCCCATTTATAACTCTGTTTATTTCATTGATGTCTCTTTTCCTCCCTCTCCCTTCTAAATTACCTTTTATTTTCCCCAAGCTATTTTTACCTTCCAAAACATGAGTGTTTTCACAGTACAGCTGAGTAAAGCCAGGGGTGAGGGGAACAGTGATTGTGAAATAAAGTGGAAAGAGAGAAATGCAGTCCTTGGAAGGAATTGCCTCCTGTTGGGCTGTGTTTATTCATTTATAGAACTCATGTGTATTGAGAACTACCATATGCCAAGCCCTGTGGTAGACCTAGAGGTACACAGATAGTAAGAAAAAGAAAAACAAACAGAACAAATCATGGACCTTGCCCATGTGGAACTTTTAGTCTAGTGGGTAAAACATATTAATACAAGAATCACATTTTTAAAATGTGAAATTACCACTTAAGAGCTAAGATGGAGGTCAGAGACTCAGCTGTGAGGTTGAGGAAGGGGTGATTAAGCAGAAAATTGAAGATGAGTTTATGAGGCAAAGCAGAGGAGCCTGGGGTTTAGTTCCACGTAGAGGGAAGAGCATGGGCAGAGTGTGGGCTCCAGGAAGGAGCTCAGTGCATTGATGGGAATGTACGAAGGCTGCTGTGATTTCCGCACAAAAAGCCAAGGGATGGGGATGGAGAGAGATGCAGGATAGGCATGATATAAACTGGGCTTGGGGGTAGGGGACTGGGGTGTGGAGGGCGGGGTTATCTGGAGATGCTGGTGGCTGCCAGAACTTGTAGACCACAAAATTGCCCATATATTAATGCTCATTAACAATGTGTTGTATACATGCAGATCAGTAAAAGTTGATGTTTGCAAGGCTGGCATGTGTTCAGGCCAGCATGTTGAAGACAATAAGAGCTAACCTTTATTGCCCACTCACTACATGCTCTGAACTCCTTAAACTGCTCTACACAGATTAGCTTATTTACTCCTTTCAGCCACCTACTGGGTACACGATTTCTCATTTTGTACCAGAGGACCCACATATTGCTAATATTTTTTGAGAGCTGTTCTCCTGCCACTCTAATAGTTTAGGTGGCTGGTAAACATATTAGGAATTGTGAGCACATCCAAACAGTGGGTCAGGTTCCTCCCCAACACGTGTACACAAACATAACCTTAGGGAAGGAAACTGAAATCATAGCTGCAATGGCCAAATGGTGGACACAGGATGGCAGCATGGAATTCTCAATTTCTGTAACTTTGAAGGTGCTTTTCCCTAAGATTGATTGTGGAATTTCAATTAGAACTCTTGAGAAAATCTAGAATTATGTTGATAGCCATATTAGAAGTTGCACGTTGACCAGCTGAACCTGAACAATGGTACTTGCTGTCCTATAGTATTTGATTATACTGGATTTTAAATATTGCTTTTTCTTTAAAAAAAAAAAAGTGCTCTTTAAAATAATTACATGTTATCCATGAGAAATGGAGTATTGCCTGCCATGTCAGTAAATAAAGGATGTCACAGTCATCAGCGATTGCAGCCGCAGCCGAAGGTAACCTGGTGAGCCCCAAGGGAACTCAAGAAGGAAAAGAATACCTGCCATCTAGCAGCCATCAGACTGCAGCCACTCCCTATGGTGAGTCCTGAGGAAACACCGATGTGAAAACACTGGATACTGGCCCGGAGAGTTGAGGTGCATATCAAAGGAATGATTTCAGTGAGCCCAGATTCTTGCATCTTCCTATGCATAGAAAAGCGCTAAATTCCTTAACTTGAGACATCTGGTTTTCTTTAATTTACAATAATCTTTTGACATTCAGACTACCTGCCCTTTGTTGCAAAACTCCTATATGTCCTGGCCCTTACCTCGCCTCCTTGGAGCAGTTCTCTCAGGGTTACTTGAGATGCTGCTACCTTCCGGGCTTGAAGTCCTAAAAATTTCCACCAAATAATACATAACTCTCAACTTTTAGGTTGTGAATATATATTTTTAGTCAACATCCATTATGCTTAGCATCCAATGTACTCTATGAAAGTAGTATATAAATTATATTTGGCCAGTTAAACTAATTAGCATAAGGTATCCAATTGAAAGTACAGCAAAAAATGGACTATTTAATTCTATTAAAGAAAATGGAGTGAAGAGCCAGACCTGCTTCTTCAGTAGCACAATTTAATGAGACTGCTTCAGATGAGTCCTGTTCTACATCAGAAAAGGAACACAAATCCCTCCAGCTTCTATTTCTGGCTCTACCACACACAGGCTTTGCTATTATACCCAGAGCAAGATGGAACCTGCTTTTTTTCCATCTGCAAAATGTAGGCAATGCTTTTAGCCTTTTTCACAGGAGGGGCAGATTAATGAGAGCCACAAATGACCTTGACCTGTTTTGTAACTGCAGATACCTTTTTATTGCTATATTTTCATGAAAAATGAAAATCTGCTGGATTTTTTTTTCTGACGAGTTAATATTAGGCTAAAACTTTAAAGTCTGGAATATGTACTTTATCAGCTGCTCTTTAAAATTCCAGTATCCAAATTTAAACAAAAGGAGAATAAGATAAATCTTTCAAGTGATAATCAAAACAGTAGGAAGTGAAAGGGTTGCCTTATAAATTGAGGTCGATTTGTTTTTTCAAAACTGTTATTTTCAGTAAGATTAGTAAGACTGAAATACATTATTAAAGCCATGTTGAATGAGGCTAGCTTGCTGGAAAAAACATGCCAGAAGTAAGTTGGCGTGTCAGGATATGGTCCACGTGTTTACATGTCAAGCCAGTTGAGAAGTTTGTGATAATGTGCTTTAGAATGATTGTTGATCACTCTGAGATCTTTCCATCAATCCCAATATGATGCCGCAGGCCTGGGATTGATGGTACATGAAGGAAGAAAAATTCTTAAACGTGGTGCTTTTGCAGAGCTCTGACTAGTCAGAAAGTATCTTTTCCATCCTAGGCAATGGTTACTGGTCTACATCACTGTAGGAGAACGCAGTCCTTATTTCAGCAATTAGGTCAGATACACATTATGATTTACTTGTTTCTGAAAGACAGAATCTAGGTCAGAATCATAAGGAACGAAATCAACTATTTCAAAATACATAGCTGGTTAGTGGGAAGTGCTTAATTCCCTATGCCTATAGGTTCCAGGTGGAGGTATTTCTAGTAGAATAACATGCTTGTCTGTCTCTGCTCCCTTCCTTCCTCTTCCCCAGGGAAGGAAGGGCTTCTCTCCTGGATGAGTTTGAAGGAGGAGCAGAGCAGGAAGGGGCAGCCTCTCCCTACCTCCAGGGCTCTGAGACCAGCTGAGCTGCAGCTGCTGATGTGAATTCTGTTTACTGCAACTGAGTCCATGTAACATATTTGCTTTGTGCTTCTGGCCATGCTATTATTAATGTTTGTTATGTGGACTCTGAGATGAATTTTACACAATGAAGGAAATGAATCCATATTCATAAAATTCTCCCATATCAAGTCTTATCTTATTTCAGAAACTCAGAGGAGAAATCACCCGTTTTATAGATGCCAGAACCCAGACGAAATGTAAAATAATGGATATTCTGTCTTTTGCTTGTGTTCACAGTCTTCCGTATTCTTCATGGCAGTGGCTGTAGAAGTATAGAGGGAATGGGAAAAGTGCAACATTTTTACATATACTTTTCCTACTTTAATTTTAACTAAGACTGTGGGCTGTACGAGGCCATCTCCTTAGATCTAACATAGTAGCTAACACACACTTGAAGCTCAACACATATTTGTTGACTGAATGAATTATTAAATTCAGGGCATTTTAATTGAAAATGTTTAAAAACCATTTTAAGGTATTTCATAATGCCTTTAATCAAATTCAATAATAGACTACTTACAGGTAATCTGATCCAGCCTGAGGGTCTTACCAAGCTCCTTTTTGGGCAGACCCATCATGAAGGTCATGAGTGTACACAACTGAGGAAGCTTTTAAGCATTTATCACACAAAGGAGGGAACTACCACATTAGCATAGACCTCACATAAATATATAATACAGAAATACAGAATCCCAGCCAAACACTTCTGGATGGGAAGAGTTAAAAAGGATAGCATCTATCATCGACACTGATTACAAGGAAAATGATATCAGCCCTCTGGGGCCTGAAGCTCTAGCGTGTGCCCAGTAACGGCTGTCATTCATCATCTACCTCAACTTAGCCTGTGCCTCATGAGCCCCTTTCTACTTACTAAGTGTACTTCCTCTGCCTCCCTCTGACCTTTCTGCATCACATCCTCCAACTGCCTGTCCTTGCTCCAGATGACATATACCGCTAGGGGTTCTCTTTCTCCTTCCCCAGACTCCTGGGGACTCTCATTTCAGCCTCATGGGTGAAGGGTGGTCTCACTTCCATTTATGCACTTAATTGGGCAACAGGCACTAACTGAGCACCAGCTGTGTTGAGCACTGGGCTACGTGCCTGGGATACAAAGATGATCCAAACATAGTCCTGGTTCTCCAAGAGTTCATGGATGATGGTCAGACAGTAAGTGATGTGGTCGAGGTAGCACCGGGCACTGTGGAGACAGAAATGAGACACAAAACCAGCCCCAGAAGAGTTCCAGGAGCAGGGCCTCCTTCCTCAGGTTGCCATGTCCCAGAAGAGATGGAGGTGGAGGTAGGCTTGAGAATTTTTTTTAACTTTTAAATTTCTATTTTTTTTTACAGTAGGTCCTTGTTGGTTATCTATTTTAAAAATAGCAGTGTGGGGCTTCCCTGGTGGCGCAGTGGTTGAGAGCCCGCCTGCCGATGCAGGGGATACGGGTTCGTGCCCCGGTCCGGGAAGATCCCACATGCCGTGGAACGGCTGGGCCCGTGAGCCATGGCCGCTGAGCCTGCGCGTCCGGAGCCTGTGCTCCGCAACGGGAGAGGCCACAAAAGTGAGAGGCTCACGTACCGAAAAAAAAAAAAAAAAAAAAAAATAGCAGTGTGTACATGTCAGTTCCATGCTCCCTAACTATCCCTCCCCCCCACTATTCCCTCCCCACCCCGGTAACCATAAGTAACCATAAGTTGGTTCTCTAAGTCTGCTTCTATTTTGTAAATAAGTTCACTTGTATAATTTTTTTTTAAGATTTCACATATTAGCAATATCATATGATCTTTGTCTTTCTCTGATTTGCTTCATTTAGTATGATAATCTCCAGATCCATCTATGTTGCTGCAAATGGCATTATTTCATTCTTTTTAATGGCTGAGTAGTATTCCATTGTATATATGTACCACATCTTCTTTATCCATTCCTCTGTCAATGGACATTTAGGTTGCTTCCATGCGTTGGCTATTGTAAACAGTGCTGCAATGAACATTGGGGTGCATGTATCCTTTTGAACCATGGTTTTCTCTGGATATATGCCCAGGAGTGGTATTGCTGGGTCATATGGTAGCTCTATTTTTAGTTCTTTAAGGAACCTCCATACTGTTCTCCATAGTGGCTGTATCAATTTACATTCCTACCAATAGTGTAGGAGGGTTCCCTTTTCTCCACACCCTCTTCAGCATTTATTGTTTGTAGATTTTTTGATGATGGCCATTCTGACTTGAGACTTGAGAATTTTGAACAAGTTCCAGATCCAGAACAAAAGGCTTTGTGAAGCTGAGTTTGTGCTCAGGCGAAGAGGAATAGTTAGATGTGGGCTCAGCAGAGGAAGGAAAGTTCTGCAGACGTTACAGAAAATGTCAGTTTAGATTTGGGGCTTAGAAACAGCACTCATCCCTCTTTTTGATGGGGCCTTATTGGCACTTTTTTAAAATTGGGGTTAGAGAATCAGGGCTAAGGCATAAAAAGGGTCCATTTACTAAAATTCTTATAATCAGGAAAAATTATGTGTGTGCTGTAGGTATTTTACTGCCATTTTAGAGGAGGTTTATGGTTTCTTAACAAGCTTCATTCATTATAACGTGCATACTTGTATAGACAAGTTGAGGAGAAAGCTTAATTGACATTAATCCCAAAGGTGTTGATGGGAAGGGCTTTTTTTGTTTGTTTGGTTGTCTTTGAAGTGAAGATCAGAGGTGATTCTTTGTCACCCACAAAACTTTGATGTTTTCCTGCCCTAATGCTCACAGTCAGGATGTAAACACAAATATACACTGGCAACATCCACAATCACTTTATGACTAGGTGAGAAATTTGTTAAGGAAAATATTTGTTACTGCTCAATGTGGCTTTGAAATGTTCCTGGGCCCCCGGAGGGAAAGCTACTTCTAGAACAGAAGTATTAACATCCATTAACAAACAAAGTCTAGGTAAAAAGCCAGTTTAACACACTGCAAATGAATGTATCAAAATGGCAAAGAAAAAATAAAAAGGTTGGTGGGGGGATGGGGGGGACACTTGCTTTAGTACAGTCGGAGTGGGAGTGTATAAGGATGTGAGTCTGATTGAGTTTTGGAGCCGGACAGGCTCAGCTTTGAATCCTGGCTCTGTTATTTGCTAGCTGTGTGCCTTCAAGCAAATTACATCTTCTCAGCTTCCTCATAAATAAAATGGAGATAATAATATTGCTGTTAGGATTCACTGCAATTACATAGTTAAGGTGCCTAATATATAAGTACATGCTCAAAATGGTAGATATGTTGATCTTGAGCAAAACAGTCAGTTCACAAAATTTTAACTGATGTCTTAAAGGATATGGTATGAATTTTAAGTGTACTAAATGCCCCCAAATGCCCTACCTTGCCAGCTCTTCATGGTATGATATTGGCTTATGTGTTTCATTGTTGCCATGGATGCTGAAGATGCCAGAGAGGATTCATCAAAGGATACGGATGAAACCTGGTAGAGAACCTGAGGACCAATTTATTCACACACATAACTACAATTATTCCATATGTTGTATTAACACAAGCATCGATGAGTTCTGGTTATATCTGGCTGTCTCTTACAAATATTATCCTCTGCTTAATTTATAACCTGATATACCTAGGTGGAAGTAGTACTTTTGTTAGGTAGTTAGACATTAGCAGCAAGGAGGTGACAGTGGTGAGAAAACCAAGACGAAATCAAGTCACACACGCAGTCATCTGGGGACTCTCCCTTGACACCACCCAGACAGGTAAAACTATGGTCGTGTGGTGGGCAGTTTATCCTGATAATAGAGGGGCACGGTAACACAAGGGGAGGTCCCCCGGCTGCGCATGCCCAGACCAGACAGGCGTATAACCTATAGTAAACCCAAACTCATTATACCATAATTATAAAAAAATCTACATGTGGTTTTGCCGCCCCACCCCCACCCCGTGGGCGTTTCTTAGCGATTCAAGGGTGAGAGCATGCGCAGCAGTAAACTTGTTACATAGCTCGGGACTGTCAATCAAATAATGATCCCCTGTCACTCACCCCCGCCTCCCTGCAAAATGCTCCTTAAAAGCACCCTTAAGCGTGTATAGGAATGCTGTTTTCCATTCGCAGAAACAGCCCGCTCTCTCTCCCTCTTAGAGTGTACCTCTGGGTCGATAAAATTTGCTTTGGCCTTGCTTCACTTCGCTGAAACAGCCCGCTCTCAGAAACAGCCTACTCACTCACTCTCACTCTCTCTCTCTCTCTCTCTCTCTCTCTCTCTCTCTCTCTCTCTCTCTCTCCCTCTCTCTCTCTCTCTCTCTCTCTCCCTCCCTCTCTCCCCCCCGCTTCCCCTCCTCCCCCTCCCCCTCCCCCCGCCTTCTCTCTCCCCCTCCCAGAGTGTACCTATGCTTAAATAAACTTTGCTTTGTGCTTAAGCTTAACGGGGTAGTTTGCAATTCTCTGCTTACTATCGTGAACCGAGATTGCTGGTCCGGGCCTTCCGTTGACCTCCTCGGTTCAAGCTATTTTGTTATAACGTACGTCCACCCCGTGACACTGCTCTTACCGTCCACGCCGTGACACTGCTCTTACCGTGAGTCGAATCCGCAACGGTACGTTTGGGCCACGGCCTAGTAGCTCCGCCGGCTTCCTGATCAGAGGTATGTTTGCGACGCCTACTTTGCGGCTTCCCCGCGCCTGCTTTGCAGCTTCCCGCAGCCTGCTTTACGGCTTTCCCCGCGTTCACGTTCGCTAAAGGTAGGATTACGCCCGCCGGCTGAGTAGCACCTTCCCGGGGTTTCGTCCATTTGCATGACAGTTGCCCCGCCTGTCTTACATGCCTCTGCTCCTTGCCTCATTCACCTGAGAAGGGACTGCTCTGTCGCTGCTAACGTGAAATGGCCCTAATGCTGTTTTATTTTCCTACAACTCTCCTTCCCGGCCTCTCGCTTGCGTCCTTCACCACTGCCGGCAGCAACGGTGGACGAATTGCCACCTTCTGACTCTGTTAAGTGTTTACACCTCTCCTGTCAAACCGACCTCCCTGATGAGCTTCCTTGAATCACGGCTATAGAGAAGGCTTCACACCTTTCTCTGGATCAGCTTACTAGACCTCCTAATCATTTTTTCTGTCACTGACTAGAACCGAGATCAACAGTGGGACTCAGGGAGGTCTTTTTCCCACTTTCATTTCGGGGCCCTTTTTTCCTCTTCTGAGACTCGAAGGAGCTTTCTTCTGTGGATAGGTCAGGCTGATGGCCGCCCCAAACACCCAATCTGTTATATTTGTGAGGACTTCCAGCAGTTCCATACACCACTTTTTGGCCAGACTGCTCTAATTTGGGATCCCCTCATTCTTTTCCTTGTCGTCTCAAACATCTGTTTTACATGGTCCCTAAGGAAAACCAACTCCTCCTCCCCTCAGCCACCCAGAACAGTTTCCATCACTTACCAGACCTTGCCAATCGCCAGCCTGTCAGGAATCTCCAGGGACTTGCCTTTACGGTCCTGATCACCTGCATAGGAGCCTTGGCCCACTGGCAATGGGAAAGAAGGAATAGCCACGCTATTATGAGATTCAGGAGCCAGAGAGTACAAACAAACGGCTCGTTAAGGAGAGGGAATCTCTCTTGGTGACACAGCCTCAATGCGGTGTGTTCCCTCTACCTAAAAACCAGTTGCTCATCCAGGTGAAAGAATCTCTGTAGGTGACAGAACCATTGGCACATGGTCTGTTCCTCTCCCTGAATGTTGCGTGTCCTCACTGCCAGTAACGGCAAGGAAAATGGAGTGAGATTCCCTATGTTCAAGCCTATTTCGCTCTTAGAGATAAGGAAGAACTCTGCAAGACTTGTAAAATTGACTCTGCTGTGCTAGTCCTGATGAGACAGCCCCCATCCTCTCCTCGAGAGGATTCATCTGAGCGGGGCCATGCTAAAAGGGAACCTGAACCAGATAAGAGCCATAGGGAGAAAATCTTTAAACCTGGGGATAGCACTAAACCCACCCCATTCTCCATCTATATCCCCCTTTGCCACCGATAGCCCCCTTAACGCCTTACCTGGGAGATCTGACTCCCACAAGGCCTCCCCCTAGAATTTGCCCTTTGGTGGAGACAACGGGTGAATTTGGACCCCAACTCATTCAGAAGACTTTTACTCTTCTAGAGTTAAAGCACATCAGACAGAAACTAGGTAAATTTTCTGATGATCCTGACCACTACGTTGACAACTTCGGCTTTTGACTTAGCCTGGAAGGATGTCATGATAATCTCAGAGCAAACTCTATCAGATACTGAGAAAGTAAAGGTCCTAAAGGAGGCCTGCAACTTTGTGGACAGCCTCCATTTATCCAGCTCAAAATATCCTGTGGGGGATACCACCATTCCCCATAAGGACCCTTACTGGGATTACAATAACCCCAATGGACAATGGGAAAAGGAACATCTTATAATCTGTATAAAAGCTGGACTCAAAACAAGAAGAAGGAAACCCATTAATTCCTCAAAGTTTTCTGCCATCAGCCAGGAACCCAATGAAAACCCTACAGCCTTCCTGGAAAGGCTCAGGGAGGCAATAATTAAATATAGCAACCTAGACCTGGACTCCCTTGAAGGAAAAACCATTTTAAAGGATAGGTTCCTTACCCAGTCTGCACCGGCCATCAGGAGGAAGCTCCGAAAGCTTACGCAGGAGCTCAGTGTTAATCTAGATGAATTTCTAGCTACAGCCACCACTACCTTTTATAACTGGGACCAGGAGAAGGAGGTCAAGGCTCGGGAGAGGGAAAAGAGAAAAAAAAATAGGCAGGCCCAATTATTGGCAGCCCTACAGGGGCAAACCTCATCCGGAGAAGCCCGGACCCGTCCCAACGGAAGCCAAGACCGGTGCCGAGTCTGCAAAAAGCCTGGCCACTGGGCGAGGGAATGCCCCAACAAGGACAAGCCTCCTAAGATACCCTGCCCAAAATGCCAAAGAAGTGGCCATTGGGTAGCCAACAGCCCTTGGGCTGAAAGGCCGAGGGGCCAGGGGCAGCCCCTTGGATGGCCCTAGATTGACAGGGGCCTTCCACTCCAGATGGACCCCCTGTTTAATGTCAGTATTACTGGACTGGAGCCAAGGGCAAACCTGGATGTGGCAGGTAGGACCATATCTTTCTTATTGGATACGGGGGCTGCCTACTCTGTCCTAGTTTCCTTCTCTGGACCCTTCTCCTCCGACTCCTGTCAGGTTATAGGCGTCTCGGGTAAACTTACTACTAGGCCTTTCACTCTCCCTTTGTATTGTTACTGGGAAGGATATACATTCTCTCCTTCCTGGTCACACCTGAATGCCCCCACCCACTGTTAGGTAGGGGCATCATGAACAATCTGGGAACCAGACTGCTACTTGGGGGAACCACTGCAGTAACACCCCTCCAGTTCTTAGTCTTAGAGACACAGCCCCCTCTGAGGACTGGCACACCAGCCTTAGCTGAGTTGCCAGTAGGCCCCCAGGTCTGGGCCGATGGAATGCCAGGGGGAGCTATAACTGCCTCCCCAGTGCTTATCACCTTAAAGGAGCCAAACTCTTTCCCCAGTCAGAAACAATATCCAATTCGCCCAGAAGCCCCAAGGGGACTGCAGCATCTCATATCCAAATTTTTACAACATGGGCTACTTATTCCTTACAGTTCTCCCTGCAACACCCCTATCTTACCTGTTAAGAAGCCAAACAGAAAAAAAAAAAAAAAAAAAAAAAGAAGCCAAACAGAGAATACAGACTGGTCCAAGACTTAAGAGCTATCAGTGAGGCAGTTGTCCCACTCCATCCAGTAGTCCCCAACCTGTACAACTTGTTGGGGACCATCCCAGGCACAGCCTTCTGGTTCACTGTGTTAGACCTAAAGGATGCCTTCTTTTCCATACCTCTGGACCCACGGTCCTACTACCTCTTTGCCTTTGAGTGACGTGGGGAAGGGAATAGAGAACAACAACTCACCTGGACAGCCCTACCCCAAGGGTTCCGAGACAGCCCTCACCTTTTTGGCTAGGCCCTGGCCTAGGACCTCCAAGATCTACGCCTGGAAGAAGGGACTGTCATCCAGTATGTGGATGACCTTCTTATTTGCTCCCCAGACCACGAGAGAGCCTTAACTCATGCTACCCAGACCCTTAACTTTTTGGCCAAATGAGGCTATAAAGTCTCTAAGTCCAAGGTCCAATTGGCACAGCAGGAAGTCAAATATCTGGGAATAATCCCCTCCCCAGGGCAACGCAGGATGTCCCCTGAGAGAATACAAGGGATTTTAGATCTGCCAGAGCCAGCTACCCAAAAACAGCTCCGAGCCTTTTTAGGCCTCACAGGTATTGCAGATTATGGATTCCTAATTATGGACTAAAAGCACAACCTCTTTATGAGGCCCTGAAAGGAAAATCTGACTCTGAACTTCTGCTCTGGGGCCCTAACCAAACCCGAGCTTTCCAGCAGCTAAAGACATTACTGTCTCAGGCCCCAGCCTTGGAAATCCCAAGAACTGATAGACCTTTTCAACTACTTGTGGCAGGAAAACAAGGGATGGCTTTAGGAGTCTTAACTCGGGAACTTCTCCCTGTCCGGAGACCTGTAGGATATCTGTCAAAGAGACTGGACCCGGTGGTCACTGGATGGCCCAGCTGTCTTAGGGTAGTTGCTGCTTTGGCCTTATTGGAGGAAGAAGCCTCCAAGCTTATTTTGGGGCAACCCCTGACAGTATATACCTCCCATCAGGTTACCTCTCTCTTGGAAAGGAAAGGCCATTTCTGGCTCACAGATCGCAGGATCCTCAAACGTCAGGCATTACTGTTGCAGAATCCAGACCTACGTGTCATGATCTATTTCTCTTTAAATCCAGCTACACTGTTCCTCTTCCCTGAGGAAGGTCTACCAGTTCATCAATGTGAAGATATAATATTTCATTCCTTGTTGCCCCGACCCGATCTAACCGATACTCCACTACAAAACCCTGAGGAAGTTTGGTTCACTGATGGAAGTAGTTTTGTTTCCGAAGGATGTAGAAGGGCAGGGTATGCAGTGGTCTCCTTGACACAGGTTACTGAGGCCCAGACTCTTCAGAACCTGGAGGGATGGGGACACATCTTGGGCTGGTTAAATGACTCCTTTTGTAACTATACCCTCAACTTTAATCAGACTAGCCTGGGGTGGGATTCCTGGTCAGAAGAAGATGACTACAAAGTATACGAAGGTAATTTCACTTTGTAT